TCATTCATTCATTCATTCATTCATTCCCCCCTTTCTCCTACAAAGGACCCAACTTTTAGCATTCCAATTTCCACTAAAGAATGAATTTTCCACTAAAGGTGGGCATGAATAGCTGCGTCAACAGTTATTAATCTTCCAAGTTTTCATGTGCTTTTGTGAGACTGCAGCTTTAATAGTGAGTCTTAGGGAGCGATCAGAAGGCAAGAAAGGACGGTGTCTAATCACGCTGGAGGGGGCCACACAGTCCCCCACTGGCTTTCATGTTACCCCATCACCACCACCACCACAGTGGCTGTGGTGGAGCCAGAATAGATACCTCCCACCCACAACAAGAAGGAGGGGAAAGGGCCAAAAACTCAGGGGGACAAGCAGAGTGCACGGAGGCAGCCAGCAGCACCATCTCTTGGGGGGGAGACCCGGCCGCCCACACCTCCTGGCTCTTTCTGGACGTTTCTCCAGTCAACAAAGACCTAACCCTTTAGGTCGAAGCTGAAATGGATTCTGCTCTGGAGCCAGATCACTTCCTCCTAGGAGCGGAATCCAGTCCTCTGGGCTTCCCTGGATGGCCACATCCTTTCCCCCAGGACACCAGCATTTCCCCAGCATCTCCTGGTTGTTGTTTTTTCCACTTGCAAAGGCATGTCTTTCCAAGGTCCTGCAAGGTGTGGCTACTCTTTTGGCTTTTCCTCCCTCATGTCTCCTCTGCTTTTGCTCTGCCTGTGTGTCCTGGTAGCCCCGAGTCGCCACCCGCGCGCAGCCTGCAGACCTACGTAAGAGGCAGGGCTGAGGCGGGTGGGCTGACTTTGGAACAACTGAGGGGAAAAAAAGCCTAATTGATCATTGGTGGATTTTCCTCAGGAACCGAAATGCCTGAATCTCACTGTGTCCAGCCTAAGTGCTACTGTGCTTGGAGGTATTATAAAACAAAACAAAATAGACAAAAAAAAAGGAGTAGCACCTTAAAGGCTAACTGTTATATTTTAGTGTGAGCTTTCATGGACAAGTCCACTTCTATGTCCGAGGAACTGGATTTGTCCACAAAAGCTCTCGTTAAAATATAACAGTTAGCCTGTAAGGTGCCTCTACATGTTTGTGCTTGGATGTGTCAACCCCCATCTTACGTACCTACCCCCCAAACAGTGCTTCTGTTGGCAGTTAAAGCTTTTCTAGACTTTGTCTGATTAGAGGGACTCATTTTCCACTTTGAGGTGAAAGGGGGATTGTATCGTCAGTGGTGGGAAGGCACTGTGGCCCCCACTGTGACACAGGGGCAACACTGAATTATCTCTGTGACCTGCCAGCCAGCGGTTCCCCATAGAATGGTCCAGCAGAGTGACAGTAGACCCTTTCAGACACACACACACACACACACACACACACACACACAAAGAGAGAGAGAGAGAGAGAGAGAGAGAGAGCATGCAAGAGCACAACAGATCCTGCCATTAAAATGGGTGTCGGAGAGCCATCATCTCCCACTTAGGGAGAAATCTTCCATGGACAAGAAAACTAACACCCAGTTTTCTCCGGCAAGGAATCAGGCAGGACGCAGCCCGCGGAACCGAAGTCCAATTTTACTGATTAACAATAAAGTCAGCTGGGACTTCTCTTAAAAGCAGAGAAGACCCTGAAAAGACAGTGGACAGATGTTTTATAATAATACAAAGAGTCATAAAGTCCTATTGGTCACCTTTACCCAAAATCAGCATCCCATTCCTTATTGGATAAGGATGCTAAAATTATTTTGTATCTTTATGGATGTCCTTCCTGGGCCTGAACCTTCGGCTCCCCATCCTAGGTTTTATGTTTCCGTCGTCACCTCCTTGTTTCCTGCCTGCATTCCTCAACTGGACCGTCTGCTAGAAGAAAGGTGAGTCGGCAGAAGGTGAAGTTGGGAAAGAAACTCTGTACTACCTGGAAGTGTCTTCTCTTTGACTAAACTATGGGAAAATCTGTGAGGCCTGTACCTTGGCTAAATCTATGAGGCCTATAATACTAAAACTTACTTTGAGCGCATCCAGGTATCTCAGCATCGTGGGCTCCGTTATCCTGCTGCAACGGTTACATCCCAGTGCAGAGAGATTCGAGCAAAGCCAACTTCATGGAGCAATAAGGATGCCGACGGTTTGGCTGCAGCCTGAAACGACGGTGGCGGATGGAATCATCCTTATTGTACAGGGTAAAATTGAACAAAGGGATTCCAGCCAGTTGATGGTGACCGCTTTAAAAGGGAATTAGACAAAATTGTGGAAGTAACAG